AAGTCATCGAATCCAGTCTCCTCCTCATTTTAAAGATGAGCAAACAAGGTCCCACAGCTAATAAGTATCCAAGCTGAAATTTGTACCCACTACACATTGAGCACTCTCTTTCCACTCTGTAGTCCTGCCTGTGGCCCAACACTTTCATTTTTACAGTTGATGCTTAAGAGGTATTATTTTTTTCCTTTTAAATTAAATTTTATTTGTTTTATTCTGAAATTAAGAACCAAAAAAATTTCCATATGCAAAGTAGAACGGAAAAAAGGATTATATATGAAACCGTGAATGTCCAGTAACTTCTTATTAAAAAAAAAAACAAAAACAAACCTATATATTAAATTCAACATAGTTTTAAAGCTGTCCTGCTTGTCTCTTTCCTTCTGAATTTATTTCTGTTCTCTGCATTAAAAAAAAAGTTTCAACAGCCCATTTTTTTTGGGGGGGGGGAATGGTGGTTAGGTGACTTGCCCAGAGTCACACAGTTAGTGTTATGTGTCTGAGGCTGCATTTGAACTCGGGTCCTCCAGACTCCAGGGCCAATGCTCTATCCACTGCACCACCTAGCTGCCCCCAAAACCCATTTTTTAAGGGAAAAAAAGGCACATTGAATTGTGGAAAAGATTCTGCAATGGCACTCTTGGGTTCTAGTTTAGGCCCTGCCATTGAATGGTCTATGACATGCCGGACCCAATCCTTGATTTATCAAATGGAGAGTTTGAACTAGGTGGTCTCAAGTAGACCTTCAAATTCTGCCACAGTGTGATTCTATTAAAAGAATTTCTAGTTGCTACAGCCCACAGAGGCCTGGAATAGGAGTTGTTGAGATTCCCCACAGGGCAGATTCATATGACGGTAAGTTTAAATAGAGTCCCTGCCATTTTTAGAGAAACAAGTTAGGACTTGGAGAAGGAAGCATTCAAAAATATATCCTTTGCAATGTTTGAGATGAAAATAGGGAATAATGATATTCTCTTATTGACAGAAAAGGTTTTCTAGGTTAATGAGGCGACTGCTAAATTCAAGTTGGGTTCACATAAATAACTTTGGGAGTGTACAGAGATGGAAGAGAGGAAATAGAATATTTGCTGTGCCTGACATTCAAAAGAGCAACATTATTTTGGGTGGCAGTGAGGAAGGAATAGTCTCTTCAGCTAAAATGGTTTGATTGGGGGTGGGAGCGGAAGAAGGAGGACGGGAAGAACAGACCAAAGGGAGGGATGTAGCAAGGGGGCAGGTACAAGTTCTGCCCTGTTCAGTGAGTGCTTGCCCTCTGCCCTCCTTACCAATTATCCCACAAACACTGAAGGACGAACCAGGGGCCAGAAAAGCTTGCTCCACCTGTTAGATGGGTTGAGGTGTCATATCCTGTGTTTTCTCTGGAGGAATTAGACTGAGAATGAGGCTTCCTCTTAGCCTCCAGTCGTTATCCCAGTTTGCAGCATAGGCAGGAATATCCATGGCTGCTGGTCTGTGATTCTTTGCGTTTTCCTTTCCTTTTCCTATGGCATTTTGGGCATTTATGGAAAGCTGAACTGCTGTCCTCCCAGTTATTTTACAAGAGTATCTTCGACCTTCCTCTATGCTCATACCACTTGGTGTTGTTCAAGTGGATAAACATTTATTAAGTGTTTACTGTGCGCAAGGCACTGGTAATACTATATTTGAAAAGAAAAAAACCAACTAAATAGTTCTAGCCCTTGAGGTGTTTATATTCTACTGGATTCTCAGATTCCCACTGCTTATCATGATGACTTTTTAACACAGATTACACCTATGATTTTACTGGTGTAGGCACCAAATGAGATAACATGCAAAGCACTTTGTAAACTTCTAGTTATTATTATTACCCTTAATAATAATAATAATAATAATAATAATAATTAGAGGCAGCTAGATGGCTCAGTGGATAGAGCTGTGGGCCTGGAATGAGGAAGTTGTTCAGTCCCTTTAAGTGTCAAGTGTTTGGTCTGAGGCCAGATTTGGACTCAGGGCCTCCTGACTTCAGGGCCAGTGCTCCATCCACCTAGCTGTCCCTTCAGTCCCTTTTTAGTTATATCCAATTTTTTGTGACCCCATTTTTGGGTTTTCTTGGCAAAGATAATTGAGTGGTTTGTCATTTCCTTTTCCAGTTCATTTTACAGATGAGGAAACTGAGGCATACAGAGTAAAGTGACTTGTCCAGGGTCACACAGTCTTATCAGTCTTTCTGATTCCAAATCCAGTGTTCTATCCACTTTGCCAGCCAGCTGTGTGACTGACCTTAGACACATCCTCACTCACTGTGTGACCCTGGGCAAATCACAACTTCTGTTCGTCTTAACCCACTGGATAAGGACATGGCAAAACACTTCAGTATCTTTCCCAAGAAAACCCCACGAACAGATGGTCCACAGGGTTACACAAGAGTTGGACATGACTGAACAACAAATTCCTGGTGTGGAAATTTCCTCCACTGACAGAGAACTGCAATTCCTTAACTTTATAATCTTATAAGTTGTCTGGAAGCTCTGAGCAGTGACTTGCCCGGGATCACGCAGCTAGTATGTGTCAGAGGCCAGATTTGAATCCACTTCTGTACTCCATCCACTGTGCCATACTGCATCTCGGGGTTGACCCATTTCTTAATAATTTCCTGCTGGAAGTTAATAGTGGAAAACAACAGCCTCTCTTGCTGTGCAATCTGAAGATAAAGTCCTTCACACGAGCACCTCGAATGCTTTTCTCTCCCTACCTCTTGAAGGGATCACACTCTCAACAGTATCTTTGACATCTTGGTGTGCTATTTTGAAAGGAAGTGGGGTTTTTTGTTCCGACAAACTTTACCTTTGACCCAAAACAAAACAAAACAACAATCATTTAAATTTTGGAACATTTGGTGCATAGTTTTCTGAAACGTCTTGTTAGCAGGAATCAGAAAGAGTGAGACTGACCAGCATTGTTTCTTGTTGCTTTTCTAGCTTGATCAGCAACTTAGGCAGCCAGGTTGAGGCTTCTGTTTGTGACCTCAATACATTTCTGATCGTAGACGGTTTACACCAGGGACTGCTCTGAAATAATTCCAGAACTTGAACCTGCAGATGCAGCTGCCTGTTTCCTTGGTTCCTTTTGGGGGCATTTCCTAAACATAGGGCAGTCCATAATAACATCTGCTGTGGTGAAAATTTAACTTAAGATGAGTTTTATTAGTGCTGAAATTTGGCTAAAGGCCTCCTGTTGCCCCATTCCAAAGGGACAGCTCCCTTTAGGTTAGCAGGTAGGGGAAGGATTGGGGAGAGTCAAGGGGCTATATAAGGCAGATTTTGAACGAGTTAAATTACCTTTAGCCAACCTGGACCACGGACAATAATGCACATCTGCATGTGAACCCTAGACCTCATTATGGATGCATTGCCTTTGTCTGCACATAATGGGAATCAGTTTCCTCATTTGTAAAAGGAGGGGACTGGCTGACATTCCATGAGTCTATTTTATATGTATATGAGTGTGTTTTGTAATGCATTATTCTACAGATGCAAGTTATTACTATTTTTATGGTCGTTACACAATCAACTGAAATCCCACTTTTGCCTTATCTTGGAAGAGAGGTGATCCTGGCTTCTTAAAAAAAATAATCTTTCCTTTTTACATCACCTTCACATATCTAAAGGTACCCTTCCCATGTGCCCTTATTAAAAAAAAATTAAGTTTAAAAACCCACTTTAGCAAAAAACAAGCCAACACAGCATCTGATTGTGACAATATATGCAGCGCTTGACACCCCAAATCCCCTACCTTTGCAAAGAGAGGAGACCCTGGCTTCTGGAAAGCTGTACTAGCTTCTTGGACAGGTCTTGTGACTATGTATGTATGTTCTGAGGATCAATCAGTCCATCAACAAGCGTTCTATGTGAGGAATGATGATGAGCTAGCTACGTTGGAAGAAGTTCATTACCATGTTGGTGACAGAAAAGGTGGTCTCTGGACTATCACCTGCGTCCTAGAGTACTTTACAAATATTATCTCATTTGGTCCTTACAACAACCCTGGGAAGTGCTGTTATTATCTCCATTTTACAAGTGAGGAAACTGAGGCTGGGAGACGTTCAGTAACTTGCCTAGGGTTACCAGCTAGGAAGTTGCCTGAGGCTGGACTTGGAACTCAAATCTTCCTAATTCCAGGTCTAGAGCTATGCTACCTAGCTTCCATATCCTTGAAGTATGGCACTGACTAGGCTACTACTTGATGCTGTAATAATTGGACTCCATCCAAGGGAATTCAGCGTCTGTGACAGTGAACATCCACCCAGCCAAACCCTAAACTGGGGTCAGTGTATGCATCTGCTAGGTCAACCTAGTTAGGAAGGGAAAGACTAACATTTTGCATAGCAAATTACTACTATGCCAGTAAATAAGGCTTCATTAAACTTGCTTTTAAATGCATGTTAGTAATGTACTGTCTCTCTTGCATAGATAGATAGCTGTGCCCCAAGAACATAGATTCTTTCCATGCCTTCCTGTACCTCTGAAAAACAGAGGATAATAGCAAGCACAAACCAGATGGCAGCTGAGTGGTACAGTGGATAGAGTGCTGCGCCTGGAGTCAAGAAGACCTGAGTTTGGGGTAGCTAGGTAGCGCAGTGGATAGAGCTCTGGCCTTGAAGTAAGGAGGACCTGCGTTCAAATCTGGACTCAGACACTTGACACTAGCTGTGTGACCCTGGGCAAGTCACTTACCTCCAATTGCCTCACCAAAAAGCACAAAACAAACAAACAAAAAGCAGCAACAACAAAACACAAACAAGACCTGAGTTCATATGTGACCTCAGACACCTACTAGCTGTGTCTGCCACCATTTTCCCAACTATAAAATGGGGATTATAACACCAACTACCTTGCAGAGTTGTGAAGATCAAATGGGATAATACTGGTAAAGAGGGTAACACAGTGCCTGGCCCATAGTAGGTGCCATGTAAATGCTTATTCTGTTCCCATCACATGTCCACTCACTTACTGCCTACTCACCGTCTTCTCTTTCTTATTGTAGTTTGGGGCCGAGTTTCGAAGATTTTCTTTGGACCGTTATAAACCTGGGAAGTTTGAAGACTTCTACAAGCTTATCCTTCACATCCATCACATCTCCAACATGGATGTGATGATTGGGTATGCCGATGTGCACGGTGACCTGCTGCCCATCAATAACGATGACAACTTCTTCAAGGCTGTCTCCAGTGCAAACCCACTGCTCAGAATCTTCATCCAAAGACAAGGTATCATAAATTCTTCACTCTCATATTATGGCTTCTATTTTCTCCACTTTCTCAAGGTTTCATGTTGCCTTTTCTGTTCCATTGTAGTTTGTGAAAATTAGGAGCTGTAGAAATTAAGATCATGTGGTATGGCATTTAATTAGTTTGATAGAGGAGTTGAAAAGGATTCTGTTTCAAGTAGGATTGTAATTTCTGAGTTTTGGAGAAGAGTTCTGAGTTCCTGGGGAGAGAAATATAATAATTATATTTTTTAGTATTTAATTAGAAGCAAATGAATTCAGTAAAGAAAAGGCAGCAGTCAGCACCTTAAAAATGTAGCTGAAGAACAGTAGCATGTATTTTCCATCATTTTTTTCAGAGTTGGAAAAAAAATGTTAGCTCTAAATTATAACTTTGGTTAATTTTGAACTGAAGCCCAGCATGGTTATAAGTAACAACATAATACCATTATACTTAAAATAATTATTAATGGAGGTTAGTGGCTAAAAAGAGGGTTGAGTTAAAAAGAGGATGATATTCCTGCATGCTCTACAATTGCCTCATCTTGGAGCCTTCTAGTCACTTCTTGGTAGCATATTTGTATTTTTCCCTTTTGTGAACTGGAAATGATCTCTTTCTACCAAAATAATATACCTGCTGAAGAACTGCCCTCAGAAAAAAACTTGATCTTAACCCTGTGTTTGGCGTCTTAGTAAGAAGCAGGTGTGATAATGCTTCATTTACGTAGCATCTTTGAGAAATATTCTTCCTAATTTAAATTTCCAAGTAAATGAAGCTTACTCCTTTAAAAAAAACCTTTTTTTTTTTTGCTTTTTGGTGAGGTAGTCAGGGTTAAGTGACTTGTCCAGGGTCACACAGCTAGTAAGTGTCAAGTGTCTGAGGCCGAATTTGAACTCAGGTCATCCTGACTCCAAGGGCCAAAACTCTATCTGTTGTACTACTTATCTGACTGCCCCCAAAAAAAACCTTTTAAAAATCATTTTGGTTGGAACTCTGTCTAAAGTAGGTTATAAACTCTTCCCTGCCTTCTTAAACAGAGCATAGGGGGATGGTCAGGGATGAGGAATGGACTTGTCATTCCACTGGTATAGGGAGCTCCCATAAGGTAACGCATTCCCTTTACCAATGTAGGTCAGTACCTTCTCTGCTACTTAAAGGCTTAGAAAGTTTTCTGCAATAGAAGTGTCAAATATATAGCCCACAATACTCTTGTGTGTGGCCTGAACCAGATTAAAATGAAGTTCTTATCTGATGTTAACATGTTGATACAGTAATACAAAAAGAAATATATATATATAAATGTGTGTGGTTTTCTAAGTCAACATGCAACCTGCAGGGATCCATGTGTGCAGCGTAGTTGCCTCTGTTTCTATTATGAGTTTGATGTGTTCAGTCGTATCCAGGTCTTCATGACCCTATTTGAGGTTTTCTTGGAAAAGATACTGGAGTACTTTACCATTTCCTTCTCTGGCTCATTTTACAGATGAGGAAACTGAGGCAAACAGGGTTAAGTGACTTGCCCAGGATAGCTTAGCTAGTAAGTGTCTGAGGCGAAATTTGAACTCAGGAAGATGAGTTTTCCTGACTCTAGGCCTGACACTCTATCCACTGAGCCACCCAGCTGCCCATTTTGAGTACAGTACCATGGGGATAGAGCACCAAGAAGTTAGAAGAGTTATTAAGGGTCCTATAGCCAGTATTCATCAGAAATATGGCTTGAACTCAGATCTTCCTGGCTTAAAGGATAGTTCTCTATCCACTGTCCCAGCAGTTTTCAAACTTTTTGGTTCCAGATCCCCTTTATACTCTTAAATTATCAAGTCCCATCCCCCTAAAAGCTTTTATCTCTCTGTTAGAGCTATCCTTATTTACTGTATTAGACGTTAAAATGTCTTTGTGTTATTATGAAAATAGTTTTGACCTCATGGACCCCTAGGGGTCCCCAGCCACACTTTGAGAAACACTGTACTATGTTAAGCTACTAAAATTTAGTCTTTACATAATGACTCTGATCTCTATTACGACCATCGTTGGACTGTCCTATTATACAGTGACATCCATAAGAGCTGTTGAGATGTAGTGTGTTTTTTCCTTCACCAAATGGCCTAAGACTATTGCTTTTTCAATTCTTTTGTCTGATGTTATAGAGTTTAGTCTCCTTCATTCTGGGGCTGTCAGCAATAGATTTGTCTGCTTCTAGCAACAATTCGATCACCTTTTAATTTACTGTTCTTTCTGTGGGCTAAGGAATCCTCACTTTGTTAGAATAGAGCATAAGGTAATAATAGATACATTTTAAATGAGGGCCTAAATAGAATACATCAACTTTGAAGTATATGGTTGCCACATCTGTGTTACTTATTCAGAGAGAGGCCTTTTTTTTTTTTTTGCATCTTGCTTGACTGGGCTGTGTTCCAGAAACAGCTGAAGTTGCCAAAACTGTGACCTCCTAATAAGCAAAATGTTGTTTTGTCTGTGATGTGCCCTACCTCTCTGAATACAACCAGGCCTGTCTCATGTAGATTGTGAAGTTTGCTGTTCATGAGGCATATGTTGGAATGAGGAATTGTGTTGGGTGTCAAGCAAATCCTAAGAATAATGCAAGTAGTTACTATTGCATTATATAGCAAATCCTAAGAATAATGCAAGTGGTTACCAGACTTGAACCTGTGTAGTTGCAGAAAGTTTCGTGGAGTCATCAGGACCAGGAATCAGAAAACAGGCTTGATATCAGGAAAAACTTCCTAAAAATTTTTGTTGTTGTTGTTCAATTGTTTCAGTTGTGTCTCCATTTGGGGTTTTCTTGGCAAAGATACTGAAAGTTTGCCCTTTAATCCTTTTGGACATTTTACAGATGAGGAACTGAAGCAAACAGGGTTAAGTAACTTGCCCAGAATCACTTAGCTTGTAAGTGTCTGAAGCCAGATTGGAGCTCAGGAAGATGAGTCTTCCTGACTCCAGGCCGGGCACTCCATCTACCGAGCCATCTAGCTGCATCTTCCCTAAAAATAAGAATTATTATTCATAAGTAGAATGGGCTGCCTTAGAAAATAGTGGCTTCTTCCTCATAGGAGGTCTTCCAGCAGAAGCTTGATGACTACTTACTGATTGTGTTATAGTTAGGATTTCTTTCCAGGTAAGGGACTGGATGGTCACGGAGGTCCTGTCCCATATTAAAATTCTGTGATTCTATGAAAGAAGGAGGTCTGGCCTTTTGATGTATGTTATTTGTGTGACTGTGGGCAAGTCCCAAGAGGATGTCTCAGTTTCCTCATCTGTAAAATGGGGCAACAATCATTGTACAATCTTCCTTACAGGACTGTTGTGAGGAAAGGCTTTGATGTTTCCCGTGATTGCTGGGTGGAGGAATGAGAAGTCATATTCTTGCCTCGGTTGTGACCAGTTCATTTAAGATAGGTTCTCTGATATCACAGATCTGTTGTTCGTGATGAATTTAAATATTCTGCTTACGAGTAAAGAATTACAGAACCTCAAAGCTGGAAGAAATCTCAGTGGGCATCTGGTCCACTGGCAACTGAGACTCAGACAAGTGGCTGGCAATGTGGTACAATGGAAATGGGCATGTTTGATTTGGAGTCAGAGGTCCTGGGTTCAAATCCCAGCTCTTCTGCTTACTACCTGTGTGACTGTGGGTAAGAAGCCTAATTTCTCTGAGTCTCACTCTTCATCTGTAAAGTGAGGGCCTTGGACTCGATGTTGTCCAGGGTTCCTGTGAGCTCTAAACTTCTGATCTTAAATGACTGATTCAGAGTCCCATGGCAAAGTTGGGACTTGAATTCAAGTCTCCTGATCCCTACTCAGACTTGCAGCTTCATTCTCAGTTCTTCCTGAACAACAGCAGGGCACAGATAAACAGGAATCTACAGAGGATCCTCAGAGTTCTCTTTTTAACTTATTATTTTAACCTCCCTTGCTGCCATAGCTACAAATCAGCAGATTTGGTATGTCCTCTCCTCTTCCTGTCCCGCCCTGGATTGCAGGTGTTAATGAGCAATAAAACAGCCAAAAACAGGAATTAGCAGGAGCACTGGATAACTGAATGCTGGCTTCATGTCAGACTCCCAGGATCACACCAGTGAGTAACAGTTGCAAGTGGGAATGTTAACTTCATGATAATGATTATAATAGCTGGCTTTTCTATAGTGCTTTAAGATTTGCAAAGCACTTTACGTATATTAATTCATTTGATCATCAAAACAACCCTGAGAAGTGGGTACTATTATTGTCCCCATTTTATAGATGAGGAAACTGAGGCTGAGAGGTGTTAAAATGACTTGCCCAGGTCCACGTAACTAGTAAGTGTCTGAGGCCAGATTTGAACTCTGGTCTTCCTGATTCCAGGTCACTCTGGGCTATCTAATTGTCTCATGATCAGTGGCGACTGAAGGATGAGTGGGGATGAGAGGATTGGGTTACGAGGTATAGGATTCCAAACTTTAGCTCTGCTAAAGACATACCAAAGACATGGAAAACAGGATACTATGGGGGTTTTTGTCTGAATTTTCCTGGAACTGCTTAATGTATGGAAAATGGCAAGTTTAAAACACATCAGTGTTTCTCATCTTTATAATTTTTAGTAAATTATGGAGCTTCTGGATTTCTCTTGCCCTTCTCTTGAGCTATCACTACATTTTTTCTTATTTAATATTTTATTTTTTCCCAATCACATGTAAAAATAATTTTAACATTCTTTTTTTTCTTCAGATTTTGAGTTCCACATTCTCTCCCTCTCTCTCCCCTCCCTCACTCATTAAGAACACAAGTAATTTGACATAGATTATACATGTAT